CATCTCAATGTAAAGAAAACAAAAATCCTCACCACTGGACCAATAAACAACATTCTTATCAATGGAAAAAACATTGAAGTTGTCAAGGACTTCATTCTCCTTGGATCAATATCAACATTCATGGAAGCAGCAGTCAAGAAATCAAATGACGTATTGCATTAGGTAAATCTGCTGCACGAGACATTTTTAAAGTGGTGAAGAGCAAAGATGTCAGCTTGAGGACTAAGATACACCTGACCCAAGCCATGGTATTTTCAATAACCTCATATGCATGCAAAAGCTAGACAATGAATATGGAAGACTGTAGAAGAATTGATGCTTTTGAGTTATGGTGTTGGAGGAGAATATTGAAAGTGCCATGGGTTGCCAAAAGAACCAACAGATCTGTGTTGGAAGAATTGTAGCTAGAGTGCTCCTTGGAGGCCAGGTGGCCAAACTTTGTCTCTCATACTTGGGACATATTATCAATTGCCCAGGACCGGGCAGTGTTTCGTTTTGTTGTACATAGGGTCGCTATCAGTCGGTACTGGCTCATTGACACCTAACAATAACAACAACGTTTAAATTGGCTTCAGGATGGTCTGAGAAAGCCTGGGAGAGAAATGTGTAGAGAGCATGGGCTCAGTTCTGTGAAAGGTTCTAAACAAGCTCCACAGGACCAAATTCTCAATTACAATTGGCTAGAAATCTCCCTGCAAGTTCCCAGGAAGCCTATGGAGTCCCAGATGAGCAATTAGTGTCCAGGTTCCAACACAAGAACATAATATCCACTACAGACTAATCTCTAGTCTTAGCTAACAGTGTAAACATCTGAAACAGCATTTGCTATGAAAGTGTCTCTACTAAATAGCCAATAATTCTAAAATTCCTAGGTTTTTTTCTTGAATCATTAGCCATCACAGAGATGCAAATCAGAACCACATTGAGATACTATTTCAGTCCTACTAGGATAACTAAGATTTCAAAATACATATACAGAGACTTAAAAAACAGAAAACAAATGTTGACGAGGATGTGGAGATATTGGTACCATTATCCACTGTTGGTTAGCACTCAAAATGGTACAGTCATTGTAGAAAACAGTGTGGTGGTTCCTTAAAAAACTAAAAATAGAACTACCATGTTGTTATTGTTAAGTGTCATCGAATCGGTTCTGAATCATAGCAACACTATATAGGAATTTTGAAGTTAAAAATTTTCGTGGGAGCAGAAAGTTTCATCTTTCTCCCATGGAGCTCAAACCACCAACTTTGTGGCTTGCAGTCCAGTGGTTATCCTACAGAGCTACCACACTCCCAGAACTGCCATAGGACTCTTCTGGTTTATACCATTCCTAGATATAAACCAAAAGAGTTGAAAACAGATCCTTAAATAAAAGACTCACATGCTAATGTTCATTGTAGCACTACTCACAACAGCCAAAAGGTGGAAACAACCTAAATGCCCATCAATAGATGAATAGGGGAACAATATGTGGTACATAAGAAATGAAGTCTTGTTACATGACACAGTATGGATAGAGCTTGAAAACATCATGCTGAGCAAACTAAGCCAATCACAAAAGGACGCATATTGTATGAACTCATTTATATAAAAAGTCAAGAAGAGGCAAATGTATGGAAGCCAAAGTTTACCTTAATGTTGCACCTCAGTGTAAAGAAACAAAAATCCTCACCATTGGGCCAATAAATAACATCAAGATTAATGGAGGAAAGATTGAAGTTGTTGAAGACTTCATTTTGCTTGGACCCAGTAGCAACACTCATGGAAGCAGCAGTCAAGAAGTCGAACAACATATTGCATGAGGCAAATCTGCTGCACAAGACCTCTTTAAATTGTTGAAGAGCAGGGATGGAACAACAAAGGAAGAAGGAGAGTCAGTAGCAGGCAGTGGATATGGAATGTGTGGTTAACTGTTTCCATGTCCTAAGACTAGAACAACTGGATGGTACATAGTTACCATTACTGAACATTCTGATTAAAGATCTCAGAGACTACTGATTAAAAGGTGGAGGCTGCCAAACAGAATTTCAAATTATCATGGACTCTAGACATCCTGGAGCCCTAAGACTGAATGAATCCCTGAAACTATTGCCCTGAGATCATCATTAAACCTTAAACAAAGCATATACCCTGAAGTCATCTAAAAATCCAACAATAATTTAGCTTAACTAGCAAAAAAAGTTTGGCCTGAGCATTATGCTAGTTTAAGAACTATAATATATATATATCATATATGATAACATAGTCCACATAGATCATGTTCCACATCTCACTTTACATTCAGAAAAAAGCAAACTAAAGTCTTAAAGGCTTGAGAGTGCTCATCTAAGGTGCAATTATTTGTCTTTCCCAGTCCAGTGGTAAAAAGAGTGAAGAAAATGGAATATGCATGGAAACATTTCATCCAATGGACTACTGGACCATGTGAACATCACTCTCCATGACCCAGAAAAAAAAAGAACTAGATGGTACCCAGTTACTAGTACGAACTGCTTTGAAAGGAATCACAGTAGAAGGTCCTGGATAGAGTGGAAGAAAAATGTGGAACAAAACTCAAAATCATAGAAACTGGTTTTTATGGCTTACTGGTCAAAAAGAGACTGGTGGTACAATGGCCCTACAGCACCTTTCACATCTAGAAATAAACTCACCTCCATGGCTCAATTTCCACTGAAATAACAGATATATTCAGAAGGGAAACAATAATGCAAAATAACCAACCACTTGAGATCAAAAGGGTAGCCTTATCCAATGACAAAGATCAGAAGGGTTAGGAAAGAAGGAGGAATGGAAACAGGAAACACAGTAAGAAAAGTGATGTTACATTGTGGGGATTGTAATCAATGAATGACATGAAACAAAATGTGTGTGAACTGAATGGAAAATTTATTTGCTCTACAAACTTAAGTCCAAGTCACAATGAGAAGGTAAAGAAAAAAAGAAAGAAAGAATTATTCATATGGGTTCAAATTGACCATAGCAACTCTAAAGATTAGATAGAAGCCTGAAGGAGTAGTGAGTTTTATGTTGATAGACAGGAACAACTCAGAAAAGGATAATGAAAATGCCGATACCACTTGGAGAATGTCATCAATGTCACTAAAGTGTACTTGGAGGAACTGCTGAAATAGTGTTCAGTGTATAGTCTCAACAAGAACAACAACATAAAACTTAGAAAAAAAAAGTTTATAGCTTGAGTTACCTAGAATTCTGAGTAATGCAACAAGGCTACCACATTTTCCATTCAGAGAAAAGCAAACCAATAGCCCAGTTAAATCCCTAGCCAGAACCCATGTGGCTTGGATTTCAGTGGTCTGGGCCTCGTACCTGCTGTAACTCATTGATCAGTTTGTTCTTATCTTCTATCAGCCCAGCACAATGCAGCTGCTGGCTGTTGAGCATGTCCCACAGCTCCTGGGGAATTTTCTTCTGCTTGCCCTCCTCCCACTTTGCAGTGATCTCATCAAACTTGTCCTGGCTGGTCTTAACTTCATTCTCCAGTTTCTCAAGTCTGCAAATACAAAAAATTCAGCCAGGTCAGTCACGTAGGAGACTCCAGGGCTTCAGGTGTTACTTTCCAATAGAGCAAGCAGGTTATCCAGAGTCTGTAATACAGCTTCCAAGCACCCAGGCACTGCCTTCAGACATACCCACTCCAAACCAGACTGGGCAATGAGCAGTCTTCTTTTAGTTTAATGCTTGACTATAAGTAACTGATAACAATTACACCAAGTCAGGTATAGCAAAAATAACTAAACATTAATAAGGTTGGACGGATGGTCAGATGATTGGATGGATGAATGACTGGATGGATGACTGGTTGAATAGATGGATAAATTGTTGTTGTTGTTGTTGTTAAGTGCTGTTGAGTCAGTTCTGACCCATAGCAACCCTTTATAGAGTTTCCAAAGAGCAATGGGTGATCTTGAACTGCCAACCTTGTAAAACAAATCGACTTTGCAGTCCAGAGCATTAACCCACAGCGCTACACCATGACTCCAGGATAAATGAATAGATAGTCAATTGGAGACAGATGAAGTCGCTTGGTCAGGTACTTCTGAGTAAGATGGTGATATACAGTAATGAAACACCTTGACAGTAGAGTCATTAGCTTGTGCTCAAGTCCTGACTTTGCTATTTACTGAATCTCAACCTTAGACAAGTCATCTTACTTCAGTTAGTTTTCTTTTTCTCATCTGTAAAATGAAAGGATGAAAGTCTCTACCTTCATATGGTTAGTGTCAGAATTAGATGAGATCATGTACTGCACCGGTGTTCAGCATGATAATCACTTAGCAAATGTTCTCTTGTTATTAGCTCACAAGAAGCAGCATAACTTCAAGTGTCTAGCCGCTCTTGTCCCAAATTATTAATAAATTGAAAGCTGAATGTACAACTAGGAAAAATCCACCATTAGCAATGGAAAGTAGGGATAGCTTTTCACAACTCCGTAAGAAACTCTTTGGCAGAGTCTACTGAGGATGGGACTGGATTGGAAGAAGGATGGAGACATGACATCTCCTCTGAGAACAGTGACTAGGACACGTGCCAGTGAGCCTCCCCTCATTTTAACAGACTGTGATTTAAAGAGATTGTCTCCGAACAAGACTACAAAACAAGGGTCACAGCTTAAATATCATACATAGCTCCTTCTTCATTGGCTTTTTGTCTTTCCCCACCCCACTTTCCAAGCTGTTGTTGTTGTTGTTAAGTGCCGTCGAGTCGGTTCCGACCCATAGCGACCCTGTACAGGGTTTCCGAGGGTGTAAAACTTTCCAAGCTAAGGTACATAAATTCATTACAGTCTATACCACCTCCTAGCGGCCCTACAGGACAGCGCAGAGCTGCCCTTGTAGGGTTTCCCAAGCTGTAAATCATTACAGAAGCAGACTACCACGTGTTTCTCCCTCAGAGTGACTGGTGGGCTTTAACTAAACACTGACATTTCGTTAGCAGCAGAGAGCTTGACCACTGTGCCACCAGAGCACATAGTACATATTATCATTTAAATGATTCTTTTTTAATTTCAAGAAATGAGAAAAACCAACAGGTACTCGTTCCAAAACACACTTTAACTCTGCCACTTAAAACCTGCAACTTTCCTTACTGCTGTAGACCAAAGCCCTATCTCTTTGGCTTGGCATCTGAGGCCTTTCATAAACTGACCCTGCTGGAGATCAGTGAGTTCAGTTCCTAGTACACCCATGGCAGGCAGTGGGAAGTTTCCAAAGGAAAGTCGCCAGGTATATATTGATAAGTCTGATAATGCAGGAACTTCTTTGTGCTGCACAACTAAAAATACTTTTAAGATTGTACCTCTGCCCCGGGCTGGTATTAGTCCCCCACTGCATGGAAGCTAAAGGAGTTTATTCCTTCTAAGCAGTTTACAGGGAGCCCTGGTGGCATAATGATTAAGCATAATGATTAAGCAGGTTGGCAGTGAAACCGGCAGCTCCGAGGTTTAAAGACCTGGCAATCCGCTTCTGTAAAGATTGCAGCCAAGGAAACACACGGGGGCAGTTCTGCTCTGTCACATGGGTTCCATATGAGTCAGAATAGACGTGATGGCACATGACAAGAACAAAAAGTAGTTTACTCCTCCTTATTGAGCAGCCTGAGACCTGGGCAGATGGGTTTGTCAGGCAGTCTGCCTATTGAGGACTGGAACTCAGGATTTGACGTGGGTTCCTATTATCCCTCTGACACTTGATCTTTCTAGCTATGGTTTCTTTAATATTCATTAATACACTGCTACATTTGTACATAATACCATAAAATGTCTGAGGAGCTATGGTAGTGTAGTGGTTATGAGTTGGGCTGCTAATCTCATGGTCAGCAGTTCAAAACTACCAGCAGTTCCACGGGAGAAAGATGAGGCATTCTGCTTCCGTAAAGATTTACAGCCTCGAAAACCCTATGCAGGGTCACTATGAGTTGGAACCAACTCCACGGCTCATCACCACCAGCACCACCACCACCACCAAGATGTCTGAGGGTTTGGTTATTCTGATCAACTTAAACTCAGGCCAGTGCAGTCCACCTAGTCTCAACCTCCTCTCTTTCCTCCCTCAAGCACCAATCCCAATTCACCTTTTGCGATCATGTCATTCCCTAACATGTCATGCATCCTCATGCCTCTGCTCAAGCTGTAACCTCTACCTGAAATGCCCATTCCTCAAACTCCTATTCATCCTTTATGGCCATCTCAAATGTCCCTTGCCCAGGACATTTCCTAGTGAAGGACTCCTCATTGTATTTCCATAGCTCTGTACATATGACTTTATGTAAAGCACATTATGGTTGGGTGTCTCCATGTCTTATCTCTTGGGCTCCTCTTTACATTCACAGAGCTGAGCACCTCTCAGGAATGACATACATACTCAAGGAAGGAAGGCAGAGAGGGAGAGGAGCAGGAGATGAGGGAGGAAGGACTTATCAGGGGTAGGAAGCAAATTCTACTAAAGTAAGTGACAAAGCCACATCCCTGATTCCAATGGCATGTGTGAGAACAGCATGACACTGAAGGGTGAATTGGGATTGGTGCTTGTGGGAGGAAAGAGATGAGGCTGAGAGTAGGTCAACAGCACTGTTCCTGGGTTTAAGTTCATCAGAATCACCAGACCCTGAAGCGTGTTGATATTATGTATGAATGTAGCAGTGTACTAAAAAGTATTAAAGAATCCATGCCAAGAAAGATTCTGAATATACTTTCTAATGATTCTGAAGGATGGAGGGGCCACAGAGGAGAAAGACATCTTCAGGCCCACTGGGCCACAGAGCGGTGGGCTCCTAACCTCTGACGCTTTACTTCCTCTTCTTCGACTCTCCGTTGTATCTCTCTGATATCTGTAGCAACCTGAATATTTGTCAACAGCTCAGTGCCACAGAGCAGCAGTTTAGCCAATTTCTGAAAACAAAGAAGTAAGGATGTGTAACGTTAGAACACTATGTGAAAGAATATATAGATCAGAAACATTTTGCATAGCTGTAAGTAATATGGCTCTTCTCACCAACTGAGCAACCTTTTCCCATCAGAACACATGTGATGTGATATAGTGTTACAGCTTACAATTAAAGAGCACTTTTCCATTGGAAGTGAACTTCATTTCCGTGTATTTAGAGTAGGGACTGGCCAGCCACTGCACAAGCTTGTGTTGTAGGTACATCACAGGGCTTTACCCAGGAGGGTTCCCAGGTGACGACCCTGCCAGCACCCTTTTGAAGACCCCCAGTTGGGGAGGTGAAGCAGATTACAACTGCCCTGCAATATCCATCTCACCTCTCTTCTTTTAGTTATGTTGCTGTTGTTCAGTGCCTTCGAGTCAGTTCTGTCTCACAGCGACACTGTATAGGGTTTCCAAGAAATGACTGGTGGGTTTGAACCATTGCCCTTGTGGTTCAAACCAAGTTTGAGGTCGAGTATTTATCCCATAGCACCAGAACTCCTCAGATTATAGTTAGGGGATGTGACTTTCCCAAACAGATACATTTCTTAATCTTCCTTGAAGCTAGAATAAAGTCTAATCAACAGCACACAAGCAGAAGTGCTGTGTGCCACTTTTAAACTGTGTCTTTAGAGGGAAAGACGTGCCCTCTGCTGCCAGTCTCTTGCCCCTTTCCTCCTGGCTAGAGTGTGCTGCTACAGTATGGCATGATGAACACAGAAGGCAACAGGAGAATGGCGGGTGGAGCTGAGGTCTCTGACACCATGGAGTCCTCTGGGGACACAGCTCCAGTGTGCTAAGGGACAGAGAGAAGTAAGTGCTTGCCTAATTTATGCTAGTGGAACTTAGATCTTTTCATTAAATGGTGCGGGGTCAATTAAGAATTCCTATGTTGCTGTTAAGTGCTGTCGATTCAGTTCTAACTCATAGTCACCTTGTATAGGGTTTCCAAGGAGCGGCTGGTGAGTTTGAACTGCCGACCTTGTGGTTCAAACTGACCTTGAAGTTGAGTGCTTATCCTAGGGCAGGGCACCAGGACTCCAAATATCCATATAGGAAACAATAAGCATTGAGATTTACCCTTACATCGTCCACACAAAAATCAATTTTCAGTATATCATGAAACCTAAATGTGTTGTTGGTAAGTGCCTTTGAGTCAGTTCCAACTCGTAGCAACCTTGTATAGGGTTTCCAAGGAGTGGCTGGTGGGTTTGAACAGCCGATCTTGTGCTTACCAGTCCAGTGCCTATTCTACAGCGCCAACCTAAGTAGGAAAATAAAGCCTGTAGAACAAAACAGAAGAATATCATCATAAACCTGGAGTAGATACAGGGCACAAAAAGAATTACCATGTTTTTTAAAGCTGATAAAGCACAGGGCCAAGGGCAGAAGCCCTGCCTGCCCAGGTCTTCGACACCATGGGATTAAGGAAGGTAGTAAGTTAGCATTTTTCTTGTACACATTGTTTCTCAGTGTCAAAACTCTTCATGACTAAAGTCCTAACCGAAAGGAAACTTCAAAACTTGCTCATGAAAACTACATTATCTCTGGTTTTACACTCAATTAAAAAGTACTCTGGGTGAAATGTAGTGTCAGTATTTGCTAGACTCAAAGATGATTTTTCTCCTACATAGAAATGCTCTGAGGGCACTGACTCTTTAGATGAAGAAGTCTAAGTTTAAAGAAACAACATAATCATCCAATCCACAGTGAGATACAGAGCTAGAACAAGTTTCCACATCAGTCGGATAGTCTTTCCACTACAGTAAACTATCTTACCCTTGACATAATACAGAGCAAGTACTTCCGTTAGCTCTGCATCTCTGTATGTTCTCTAACAAGATTTCAGTGACTCAAGCATTTTCCTCCCAGTGCCGGTGAGGAATGGGCACTGAACTGCTAATTGCAAGGTAGGTAGTTCAAACCTACCAGCCATTCCTTCGGAGAAAGATGAGGCTATCTGTTCCTGTAAAAATGTACAGTCCTGGAAACCCCATATACAGTCGCTATGAGTGTCAAACTCAATTCAAAGGCAGTGAGTTTGGGTTTTTTGGGGGGGAAGTATACTTATAATTTCTACTAGAAATTATCTCCTTCTTTTCCACCATTATAAATTCTACCTATTTTTTTCTAAGACCCAGCTCCATTCCCACTTTCTCCATATAACCTTTCCTAACCAGGCCAGTCCGGTGAGCTCTTTTTCACATCTCAACTCCTGCATTCATTTCTCCAATACATTTCATTGAGTAATTTGATGCAGCAAGTTCTGGCTTGCTGTTTTGGATTACTGTCTATTCCTCCTGCATCTGTTGTCCCAAGTACTTCATTAAATACCCCTAGGAAGTCTGTCATTCCCAAAGGAGAGAAATCAATGATTTTCTTTTCAGTGTTTGTTAAGGATGAGCCATTTCCTCTTCCACAGCTATAAAAAGACAGAGGGAAAAAATAGGATGAGGTCCCCACTCTCATACAGCATACAATTTCATTGTGGAGACCACATTCACACACATTTGAAAACTCACACAAGACAGAAAACTAAATAAAATGAAATTAATGCTCAGACAAGAAGTATTCAATGTACAGATAAAAGAATTCAGGAAGAATTTGAAGAGTTGGGACTCAAGAATTTGAGGAGTTGAAGGATGGGAAGGCAGTCTGATGAAAGGAGGGGAAAAGACAGAAAAGGAGGGTAAAGGAACGAAGAAGAGCAGGGAGGAAGGTTGACATTCCACAATAGAAGGACTAGTATGATCAAAGGCAGAGAGCAGGGTGGAACCAGGCCTACATGGAGGTGAGTGAGTGGATCAGCCTAGTCAACGTAGATGACTCAAACTAGGTAAGACAGGAGCAAACAGTTGGAAAGTTAAGATGGGAATAGACTACATACTGGCGTGGCGCTGTGGGTTAATGTGCTGGGCTGCAAAGTCAGTTTGAACTGCAAGGTCGGCAGTTCAAGCTCACCAGCCACTACTTGAAAACCCTATACTAAGTCACTATGGGTCAGAACCAACTCAAAGGCAATTACAACAACTAGACTACATAAAGCCTTATTGTCAAACTAAAAAGCTTGGGTTTTATTCTAAAAATAATAAATAACCATTAAATGCGTATGAGAGGCTCTCTGTTCCTCCCCGTTCGAAAGGCAGCTGCAGCTTCTCTTACAATACCAACCACATCCCTGAGGATGGTAAAGGTCAGAGTCAATGGATTTGGCCATATTGGGCACCTGGTTACCAGGGCTGCTGTTAACTCTGGCAAAGTGTAGGTTGTTGCCATCAACCTCAACTACATGGTATACATGTTCCAGTATGATTCCACCCATTGCAAGTTCAATGGCACTGTCAAGGTGAGAACGGGAAGCTTATCATCAATGGGAAAGCCCATCTCTATCTTCTAGGAGTGCGATCCCACCAACATTAAGTGGGGTGATGCTGGTACTGAATATGTTGTAGAGTCTACCAGTGTCTTCATAACCTTGGAGAAGGCTCACTTGACGGGTGGTGCCAAATAATCTTCCCTTCTGTTGATGCCCCCATGTTTGTGATGGGTGTGAACCACAAGAAGTATGACAACTCCCTCAAGATTGTCAGCAATGCCTCCTGCACCACCAACTGTTTGGACCCCCCTGGCCAAGGTCATCCATGACAATTTTGGCATCGTGGAGGGACTCATGACCACAGTCCATGCCATCACTGCCACCCAGAAGACTGTGGATGGCCCCTCTGGGAAACTGTGGTGTGATGGTCATGGGGCTGCCCAGAACATCATCCCTGTATCTACTGGTGCTGCCAAGGCTGTGGGCAAGGTCATCCCTGATCTGAATGGAAAACTCACTGGCATGGACTTCCATGTACCCCAACTCCTAATGTGTCACAGGACCTGACCTGCCTCCTGGAGAAAGCTGCCAAATACAATGACATCAAGAAGGTGGTGAAGCAGGCATCGGATGGAACCCTAAAAAGCATCCTGGGCTACACTGAAGACCAGGTCATCTCCTGTGACTTTAACATTGACACCCACTTTTCCACCTTTGATGCTAGGGCTGGCATTGCCCTCAGTGACCAATTTGTCAAGCTCATTTCCTGGTATGACAACAAATTTGGCTATAGCAACAGGGTGATGGATCTTATGGTCCATATGGCCTCCAAAGAATAAGAGCTCCCTGAACCACCAGCCCCAGCAACAGCACTAGAGGAAGAGAGAGGCCCTCAGCTGCTGGGAGTCCTTACCCCAACTCGAATCCCCCTACACACTGAGAAGCTCCCATCCTCAGTTTCCATCCAGAACCCCTGGAGAATGGGAGAGGCTTAGAGAGCCCAGTGTTGTCATGTACCATCAATAAAGTATACTATCCAAATGAAAAAAAAAAAAAAATGTGTATGAACAGAGATAAAATAGTATAAATATAAGAAAGTATCATAAGAAAGCTCACTCCAAAGAGCTATCAAAATGGGAAGGAGTTCAAGTCAGTTCTGCCTAGAGACAGGAAAATGAGATACATGAGTTCATAACTATGAAAGCCATGATATCACACTCAGCTCTCGTCTTTCAGGACAAACCCAGTCCATACCTGTCTGCTTTCTTCTTTCTGCTTGTAGCTCTTGCTTTGGTCTTCCTCACTCTCCTTCTTCCCATCTAAATATTCTCCAAGTGCTTCCCTGTGATGAAAAAAAGGCAGAGAAATTGAAGTTATTTCTAATGTTTAACACAATCTACAGTAATACATTCCATATGGATGAAATTTAAGTATTAAAAAAAAGTCACAATCATAACAACACAAAAAGCACAGAAAACCAAGACAAGAAAAAAAAAAAAAAAGATGAAAATATTTTACTTTTTGAAAGTTTAAAATTTCTATACACTATGGAACAGACCATCAATTGCTCATATGCTAGTTCAGACTGAAGCTGAAGAAAGTTAAAACAAGTTTACGAGAGCCAAAATATGATGTTGAATATATCCCACCTGAATTTAGAGACCATCTCAAGGACAGATTTTAATGCATTAGACACCAATGACTGAAAACCAGAAGAGAAGTGGGATGGCATCAAGAACAACATACAGGAAGAGAGCAAAAGGTCATTAAAAAGAAAGAAAAGACAAAAATGGTTGTCAGTAGAGAATGTGAAAATTGCTCTTGAAAGGAGAGAAGTTAAAGTGAATGGAAGAAATAGTGAAGTAAAAGAGATGAACAGAACATTTCAAAGATGGTGGACTAGGCAAACACACTACATGGACCCTCTACAACAAAGCTATGAGAGATCAAATAAAACAGACAGATGAAAATTCTGGAACCCTGAACTTAAAAAGAAAGACTAGGGAGGTGGATGGAGTGCTTATTGAGAGGAAAGGCAGAGGAGGTACGGCAAGAGAAGGAGACTAACTGGTGAACAGCTGACCAGACACAGTGAGAACATCTTGTAAACAGTTTGGCAGCAGAGGGAGACCTGGCAAAACAGATTCACACAGGGGACGAAAAGGTTCCAGGTCTTCTTTTTTCCTCCATATTCCCCAGGTGATTAGAGGTGTGACCAGCTCCCACCCTCATCCAACCCCAATGCAGAACCTGCTCTCCTGGATTTCAGAGCAACCTAGTTGGGAGCCATGCCAATGTGAGGTGGAGGGCAGCTGCAGCACTTTGGTGTGCTGCTTTGAAGCCTGTATTCAGGTGCACTCATTTCCAGGTCTATAATGCCCACAGAGCCACCACCAGACAAGCATTTTACCAGTCATGCTGCCTCCAGCTGTCCTGTGGTCCTAACAGACACTGAAACCAGCTCCATCAAGGGCCCCCACAAACTACTTTCACATCGAATGACCTGAACATAGATAACACTGATCCAATACGAACTCTGTCTAGGGCCAGGAACTCTGCTGTCACATCACTTCCACAACCAACTCGTGAGGTCCTTGAATTGCAGGAGCAACTCCCAGACAATGACTGAGCATGGCAGAGGTGCTAGGACCTAGCCATTTCTGACCAACATGGGACTCCTCTAACAGGCATTATTTGCTCCAGAGCTGCTCACTGGGTTGGCCAAGGTTTTGTCAGAACTGTATTACAATTTAAGGTACTCCCTACCTAGTTATTCTTTTCTCTTCCTTTCATAGGTGTCAAATAAGCATCATAGCCAAAGACTTTCTCTGTCAAATCCTGCTTATTCCCTGCTCTCTTTCATATCTGTTGTCTCCAATAACCTCCTGTATGCCTAACATCTCAGTATCTGTTTACTGGAAGATCGAGACTGACACAGTATGGGAAAAGGAATGAAAAATTGTGTCATCTCATAACTTTCTATGATGCTCAAGGCTGCTGCATGTAAGACCAGATCTGGGTCTTGGATGCCTTCTGCATCTCATAAACCTCTGCTACATCTCCAGTGAGTCAGGACAGTCTCTAAAACAAATGTGATTCCACATCTTCAAGTCCTCAGATCTTGGAGAAGCCTGTTGCTAACGGCCATCAAGTCGGCCCCCAACCTACAGTGATCCCAAGCACAAAGGAATGAAAAGCTTCCCAGTTCTGCGGCAGCCCCGTGATCACTTGCGGACTGAGCCATTGTGATCCATAGGTTTTTTTTATTTTTTAATGTTTTGCTGTGAATTATGTGATAGTTTATATGGGAGAACATTAGCTTTACATTCATCCTATAGTATATCAAACAACCAAAGGGCTGTCCCCGCCTCCCCTTCTCCCTCTCTGGGTCTAGAGTCCCCAGGCACTCCATCTATCCACGTCATCATCTCTGCCTCCTTCTCCAGCATC